GATGGGAACTTTTATACATGTGGGCGGAACCTAGTTCCAGTTGCCCCTCCTCTCATGAGAAGAGTGAGACAAGTAGCTAATGGTTTGAGTCATGCACTTGTACTAACGGAAACTGGTTTGGTCTATTCTTTGGGGCTGGGATCTCATGGTCAGCTCGGCTTAGGGGATTTAGAGTCTCGTTCATCTTTATCTCTAATTGAAGGGATCGCCGGAATAAAAATTAAAATGATATCTTGTGGAAGTTGGCACTGCCTTGTGGCCAGTGAATCAGGTGACATGTACTCCTGGGGATGGAACAGACACTCTCAATTGGGACATAGCCCCACCCACAGTATCGTACCAGACCCCACCCTGATAGAGGAGGGGGTAGGAGAGGATCAATGGGTTGTGTATGTGAGCTGTGGTTCACGGCACTCTGCTTGTATCACTAAAGAGAAAGGTTGTTACGTGTGGGGTTGGAATGGATATGGACAATTAGCTCAACCTTCCTCTTCTCTCATTTCTAATGTTATTCCAATGCTTTTAGCTAGTTATCCTGTACATCATGTTGAATGCACACACTGGAGCGCTATAGTATTATCATAATTTTTATTTATTGATATGAGCTACAACTTTCTCATGGACTATTTTGTAAGCCTGAGATATTTATCTATATACCATAGTCCCTGCTGTACAAACTGATCCATATAGCTTGACCACTGCACTCCACTGGCTTGCTGGAAAAACAATTAGTCTGTGCCTATGAAATTTTTCAAATTTAATATTGATAGAGCAGACTTGAAATGATAGAAGAGGGGCCAGTAAGAGAGAATCAGACAATCAGTGGGTTGTGTATGTGAGCTGTGGTTCACTTAATTGTATGATTGTATTAGATTACTTGACTAAAGTGAAAGGATATGGACAATGAGCTCAATCTTCCTCTTGTACATCATGTTGCATGCAGCCACTGGAGTAGCTATAGATTAGTATTGTAGCTAGAATTTAGTTTAGGGGGCAAGCCCTATTATTGTTATTGATTTATTTTTTTACCGCAGAGACCTCATCACCTCTTTGTTATTTTTATTCTCTGCTGTAAAAACTGGTGCCATCTGGTAGTAAGTGGTGCCACTATTGTAGACTTGCAATCTCACTACAGGTTAAATGCAAAAGGTAGAAATTTCAAAATTTTTGCTAGAAATTTGACAAAATCAATAAAAACTTAGCCTAAATAATAAACAACAAAAATAACCTAACCTAAACACACCATGCATAATATTTCAAATGAATGAATTATTAATCAACAATAACATCTTTATCTACAACTTGATCAAACTGGTCATAGTTTTTCTTTTGCTTGTGAAGCTTATGTGCTATTATAGCTGCAGTAACAGAATCATTAGGATGAGCCTTACGAATTGCTCTGCCAACAAATTGAGAAAATAAAACTATTGAATTTGGCTGAACATTACGAACGATGGCAACAACACTAACTCTATTGTTATCATATCCTTCCCTAAGCCTCTCAACGACTACTAATGTTCGTGTATCTCCATTTGTAAACCTGTCCAAGACATCAGGTTTACTTTTAGCAACATACATTTCACAATGATAGCCAGGAGGTGCTACTCCATTATATTGTTTACAAAAATCTTCAGCTGGATTTATCAATCCTTCTTTTCTTGTTTGGGTCAATACCATTGCCTGGTGCTGTATTTCTGGATCCTTTGTATCATGCTCTTGCAAAAATTGTATAATTGTATTTGAAACCATCTATATAAAAAAGAAAAATTATGCTTGAAATTAATTTTAATTGTCTCATGCATAGCTATGTACCTGCATTGCAGTACTCAGGTCATCACCCTTCGTACCAATTTCTTCGAACTTTTTTCGTCTTATTATTCCATCATCTTCAGCTTTTTCCAGGCTCAAATTGTAGCATATTTCTATCTTAGGAATAATTTGATTGAAAGACAAACCAACCAAATGAGGCTCAATATCTTGTAGTATATAGCCTGTACTTCTATGATGTGGTGTTGCTGTTAGAAACAGACGTTTGCTTTTACAAAAGTGGTTAACAATAGTCATCCAAGTATGTGCTGGGTAATGGTGAGCTTCATCGACAATGACAAGGTCATAATTTTCAGGAGAAATATCTTGAATTTTGACTTGAGATTGCCCTGAAACCTGATGAGCTGTGATTATCAGCAGCTCATTGTGCAAAGAGTTCTTGATCTGATCAGTACTTGTAATGAGAGTACAGCTAGGACGGACATCATTTGCTTGTTCTGCTCTAATGAACCTTCTCCTGACAAGAAACATATCTTGAGAGTCTTGTCTGCCACCAAATGCTTTAAATATTTGCTCTGATATAGCCCTTGAAGGAGTTAGAACAAGAACACGATGAGAATCTAGCACAAATGGAGCTAAAACAGCAACACCAGTTTTACCACAGCCAGTGGGTAAAACAACAAGAGCAATGTTTGGTTGGTCTATGTCATCAAACTGCTTTTTTATTGCTAAAAGAGCTTCTTTTTGGTGGTGGTGGACATCAGTAATCTCCAAAAAATCACTACGTTTCAGGAACTTTAACGCTCTAGAATGTTGAATACGGAATTTTGAACTTGTTGGTATTGCATCCATGATGTAAGAAACCAGTTGCTTTCCTCTACTGCAGCTGCGCTGGTGCTGACTGTGTAGCAAGGTGTGTACTAGCATAGATATACAAACACATAATACATATACATATATATGCTATATATACATATACAGCATAGATATATAGATTATATATTTTATAAGGTATTAGGTATAGTCCCTGCTGTACACTCTACAAACTGGTTAATATATATAGGTTGGCCAGACTGACCACTGACCTTCCCCCTCTCTCTCATGCAAATCTTACCACTAATATGAAGTATTCTGTATGTAGCTGTGACTATCAAAAGGTCATCATCCTTTGCATTCAATATTCTCTTAGATGTAGTGATTTTTGCACACATGGACAAAAATCTCGTTTCATCTTTTTTAACAATGGCTTTTTTCACAAGAAACATTCCCTTTTCCTCATGACTATGAAAGGCATCAAAAACTAATTGTTATTTGTTATGTTATTCCAATACTTTTAACTATAGTTATCCTATGCATCATATTGAATGCACACACTGGAGTAATATTGTTTTTTATTGATTTATTTTTATTAGATAGCCCTCCTCCTTGTTATTTTTTTCTGGTCCCTGCTGTACAAACTGTGCCATCTGGTAGGCCAGACTGACCACTAATCATATTATGCCTACCAATCAGTATTAGATCACTATCAGTCACAAAATTTACTAAAATCAATAAAAAACTTTTGATATCAGTAAAAAAGTTTGAAAAAGTCTAGTAGCCTATTTAATAAGGTTCTATGTTCACAATTAATTAACAATAACATCTTCATCAGCAACACTATGAAACAATTCATAATTGTTTCTTTGCTTGTGAAGCTTATGTGCTATTATAGCTGCAGTAACAGGATCATTAGGATGAGCCTTACGAATTGCTCTACCAACAAATTGAGCAAATAGAACTTTTGATTTTGGACCAACATTACGAACAATGGCAGCAACGCTAACGTTGGTGTTATCATATCCTTCCCTGAGCTTATTAACAATTACTAATGTTCGTGTAGCTCCATTTTGAAATTTTGTTAGAACAGAAGTGGGACTGCCAGCAATATACATTTCACAATGATAGTATGGAGGTGCTATTGCATTATACTCATAGAAGAAATCTCTGGCTGAATTTATACCAAAGTCTTCAGCTGACTGCGTCAATACCATTGCCTGGTGCTTTACACTTGGATCTTGTGCATCATGCTCACAAAGAATTTGTATAATTTTAATAGAAACTTCCTATAAATATTATGCTTGATGATTAATAATAATGTTATTTTTTATGCATACCTGCATTGCAGTTTTCTCATTTACAAATTCTGATGTGCCAACTTCGTGAAACTCCTTTTCCCTTATAACTCCTTCATCAATAGCTTTGCGCAGGCTCAAATTGAAGTATTTGTCAATGGATACAGGTACATTTCCATCTAAACCAGCCAAATGAGCCTCAATATCCTTCAGTATATAGCCTTGTGTGCTTCTATGATACGGTGTTGCTGTTAGAAAGAGACGCTTGCTACTACTAAAATGATTAACGATTGTCCTCCAAGTAGGTGCTGGGTAATGGTGAGCTTCATCAACAATGACAAGGTCATAATTTTCAGGAGAAATATCTTGAATTCTGACTCGAGAACTCCCTGCAACTTGATGAGCTGTGATTATCAGCAGCTCATTGTGCAAAGAGTTCTTGATCTGATCAGTACTTGTAATGAGAGTACAGCTAGGACGGACATCATCGGTTTTATCTTTTGTAATGATCTCTCTCTGCACAAAAAACATATCCTGAGGCTCTTGTCCACCAAATGCCTTAAATATTTGCTCTGATATAGCATTTGAAGGAGTTAGGACAAGAACACGTTGGGACCCTAGCACATATGGAGCTAAAACAGCAACACCAGTTTTACCACAGCCAGTGGGTAAAACAACAAGAGCAATGTTTGGTTGATCTATGTCATCGAGCTGCTTCTTTACTGCTAAAAGAGCTTCTTGTTGATGGGGGTGGATGCACTTGGAGGCATCACCTTGAATGAAGTCCAGGAACAATTGGTGTGAA